ATGCTCTGACAGAAAAACTCAGGGTAAAGAAGAAAATAGCTGTCATATTTCTTCCTTATAAAAGGACAAAGATATCTCATGCATATAATGTGTGACATGTATTATTCATAGATCAGTAATGGACTTGTGTAGAAGAGAAACTCCCGGGGTGTAATAAGGAGGCACTCTGCAACAACAATTTCCCTCTGATGCTTAGAGTCTTAAAACGGGGTACATGGAGAAGAAGAATACACATGCATGGCCACATGTTTTTCAAATCCTTTTTTTGAATTTGAATTGAATTTATAATTTTCTCATGTGTTTTATCAAAAAAGGAAAACGTTAAGATGGCATTCAGTTAGGTTGGCTCATGGTGTTATGAGTTGCATTTTCTAGTTATGTGGTACAGGATAATGTAGACATACAAACATTCACAGAGGATTATACACAAAGCCATGGGCAATTAATTGCGCTGTATTTTAGAGGTACTTGATAATCCTATCACAGATTGTTCAGTTTAAGAAAATCTCCTCAGTGAGACATAGTTTCAGAAGCTTCTATCAAACATCAAAGAGATGCTTCAGTTTAATGTTCGCACTATGATCTACAGCTTCAGAAATAGCGTGCTGTTAATAACAGTATGCGAAAACAAGATGCTGCAGTGGACTCCGGCTGTGGTCTCTGTGTGCTTGTCTGACCGTCTAAGTGCTTTCAGGGAGTAACTGAGTGGACAGTGGAGGGGTTGAAGAGGAAACCTGAGCAAAGGTCCTTGAAAAATGGAAAATAAAAAATAAAAAATTATGCTATGTAATGGTACAAACTGAAGGGAACTCCCTTTGGACACATGACTAGCAGTCTTTTGGGGATACATGCATTTTTGTACATTTGTTCAGTTTGAGGTCTTCAGTTGAAGTTCAGTGAAAGAGTTTGCAGTAGAAATGAACCCTTGATGTTACATCAGGCTACAAAAGAGATGCCATTCATGGTGTTGTATTGCTATTTCTTTAGCTGTGATCAGGCCTCAAACCAGCCTCTCATGGCACTGCCTTTTCCCAAGCCACGTACTTAGGGGGTAAATGTTGTCCTATATTTAACCTGCAGGAACTGGACCGCGCTACTGTGTAACTAGTCATTATAACAGTCTCTCTGATCGTTCATACGCTGTGGGGATCATTCATACGTTGTCTTGTTTACCCCTGTATATCTAATGCCTATCAAACACAAGCCTACCACTTAGAAGTTTAACTACTATAAACTATAAATATCTATTGATTAAACAAGTGAATGATGGGACAAGGGTCTGCGTACAGGATCTAAATGATATAATAAACTTTATTAACTTTACAAACATGATTATAAGACAGAGATCTTCTACCTGCCCCTGACATGACTTGAAAATTATCACCTTTAATGGTTCAATTATTTTAAAAAATATTTTATATAAACTTGTAAAACTTAAACATATTGCTCTTAAAGTAATTACTGCTATGAAATATACAGTGCATAGTACTTCAAAGATAAAATCTGTACCTACTTAAGATTTGGAGAGACCTGATAATGAGTGATAGTGTTTTTAAAACATATAATTAACTGGGCATGGGAATCCAGGCCTGTGATTCCAGCTATCCAGGATGCTTAATATAGAAAATCTCAAGCCTGGGAGTTTGTTGCTAGCCTAGGCAATGTAGTAAAACCCTCACCCTCTGCCAAAAAATGTTAAAACTTCCTAAGCAATCATTGGCATTGGATATAAATCTCATTTAATCTGCAGGATAACCTGATGCTCTGATTCTCATGCCAATACCTGGATAACAGACACATCCTTTTAAAATTCCTTATGGTTTATTTTTATTAGTCTGTTGCAATATATTTAATTTTCATATAATTTCAACTTTTTAAATTCAAGCAATTTTTTATATAGAGGTAGAAGAAACACCGAAACATGCTTTTCAGGGTTACCAAAGAATAATTAATAGCTTAAATGCTTACATTTACAGAATCTCAGAATCTGTAATTTTGCTTTCCATGGTTTCAGTTATCTAATTAACAAAAATATTAATATTTGACTATCTTAAAGAGAGCACATTCACTAACTTATTACAATTTATTATTATAAATGGTCTATTTTATTTTTAGTTCTTAATTCTTTTAATTGTTAATCTCATCATGTCAAATTTATAAATTACATTTGGTCATAGACATGTATATATAGAAAAATAGTTTATATGGCGTTTTACACTGTCTGCAGTTTCAGACATCCTCTAGGGGTCTTGGAATGTACCCCGAAGGACAGGGAGGGGGATTGCTGTACTTTTTGATAGTGTAATAGAGTATCCAAGAAACATGAAATTTCAAACGTCAAACTGGAATGAGGAAGAGAACACCACGGAGGGCTTCCAAAGAGGATACAAGTTTCCTCTTAATTCTCAAAATCCTTGACAATCGTGTTAGTTTTTCTTGTTCTCTATTTGTACTTTGCTTATTCTGAAGAGGTAGCAACAGTCAGGGAGGTGAGTCAAGGTTTCCCTCTCACCGGGGTCCTCTCTCCTGGCTATGTGTGAGGTCGTTTTCTCACACTTCCTTTTTATGGGAGAGGAACTCAGGCTGGGACTCCACGGGGGTGACCTTTGTGAGGGTGTTGGAGGTGAGGAAGAAGGGAGGTGCTGTTCTGGGGAGATGCAGAGGAGGAACTTGAAACAGCAATAGCGCCCAGCAGCCACCTGTCAGGGTGGACTGTCCCTCTTCTGCCCAGTCCTTTCTCTTCCTCTTGTCTTGTGTTGCAGGGATGTTTCTTCATCCCTGAAGCCAGGCTAGGTCAACATAATGGATTTCTAATTGCTAAGTTTTTCTCACAGTATGTGCAGACCTGGGTCTTTTGATAATGTATTAAGGAGGGGAGAGGCAGTAAGCCAGGCCTTCCTCCGGCCCTTGACAAAGCACTAGCAGTCCAGACCTCCTTCCTGACCCCCCCCCCCCCAGCACACACCTGCTCCCTTGTGAAACAATCCACGCTCTAGTGCCTCAGCTCAGGCGGGTCCCAACAGCTTCCTGTTGCCACCCTCCTGCCAGCCTCATGAATTGCTACCCAAGCTCTCAGACGCTACAAAAGTATTACTGCTCTTCAATTCCTGGCTCTACCCAGTCATAATTTGGGCTGCTCTTAAGAGTTCTTCGTTGTTTACAAATCCCTGTGAAACCCCTCTTGTGGCACTGTACTAAGCTATTTTACCTGCATTTCTTTTTTCATGTTGCATCTCTGCCCTCCAGAGCTCTGTACATGAGTACAAGTGGACCATTGAAGAAGAATACTGTTGCTATAAAGACATTACTGACAAGTAATAGCAGTATGTACGTGTGTGTGTGTGTGTGTGTGTGTGTGTGTGTGTGTACACATACATACATTCATAGGCCTGGATTTCATATAGAAAAATGGAAATGTATTAACATGAGCTTACCTAATACGTAAAGAAGATGTAAACATAGCAGTGGCAGTGAACCTATGGCACGCTTGCCATAGCCTGCTATTTGTTATGTTTAAAGCTTTAAAAGGTTCATCATCATTGGACTAGGGAAAAAAAAAACCTTTCTGCTTTGGCAAAATTTCTCCCACCAAACTGCCACAGTACTTCTGTTGACAACTTAATAGACACAGATATGTTACAGTCATATTCAATACTTACGCAGTTTGCATTTGCTTGGCTTAATTTAAGATTGTTATCTTTGTATCTTGATTTATTAGAGTGATTAAGCATATTTGAAAAATTCTCTCTGCTGAACTATTATCATTTACATCAATAGATTTCTATATGCACAGATGTCCTTTGGGCTCTTAGAAGGAGGGTGTAGAGTCAGCAGTCTCATGGAAAGAGAAAGCTTGCAGCTATGTTTTGGAAGCATTGTATGTGAGACTTGAGAAACATCAGTTTTTCATAGTGGGGAACGGTGGATTTAGGTGTTGATGAAAATTAAAGAGGATTGCTGGTTCCTTGCCTCTGAAGGTCAGGCTGTATTTGAGGGGTTAAGAGCTGTGTTATGGGGGAATGAATGGAGAGAGAGGAATGGATAGAAGCGATATTTCAAAGGAAATATCTACAAGATTGTAAAACATCGTCTGTGGATGGAATCACTGTATAAGAATGATGAAAATATAAGACAAAAATGAGTATGTTGGACTGAGCAAACTGAGAATCTGACGAGCCATCTTGGGTTTGGTAGGGAGAGGTAAATCTATTCTAATCAACTTGAGCGTAATCTCCTTGTGATATATGCATAAATACTTTTGCCTCTATGAAAAGCTCATGGAAGCACCAAGGCCCTGTCAAGGGATAGATGATTATTTTGTTTGTATTTCTTAATATTCCTACATTTTCCACTTGATCCTTAAAGCATTCCACTAGCTAAACACAAAGTAAACAAAAGTAAATTTAAGAGCTCATCCCATCTCCTTCCTTTGTCCTCCAAAACAATGTCACTGTAGGTGAAATACTGCATTACTTTCAACCCCACCCAGAAATGTATAAACTAGCCCATTCCTCAGTCTAAGGAGGAAGGCTCCCTCCTCCTGGAAAGTTTTGAGGGGCTGGAAGAGCTGGCCTGCAGGGTAGGATGGGAAAGAAGAACTTTTCTCAGCCCCTGAACTGGGTGGATCTCACATGAATGTGCTTTGCTTACTTGAAAGGTTCCTGAGATTCCAGAACATTTAGCAAACCTGTAAGCACAGTGCCTGTTTGTGTTGCAAGAAGTAATTCTCAAATATTTGCTCGAGTAAATAAATGTGTAATTTTTGTATCTCTTCAGAAAGTTTCCCCCTCATCCATGTGTTATACGGGGGCGTGCCTTCTGATCCTGCATTCTGAGTGGGAATCAAGTGAGGATGCGCCTTTTTGTGTCTCCAGTGCTGTGGGGCACATGGAGCTCCCTACCTAGCTCTCTGCAGCTCGCAACACATACAGCTGTAAGGAGACCACTGTTGTGGGTTTTGCTGAAGTTCCCAGTTGTGATCCAGCTTTCTCTTCTTGCAGGCGCACACATCTTGACTGACTCAACAGCAAAGTGGATTTTCTTTGTGATTAAAGAAGCAAACAATGTCCCCGTGTCTGTAGAGATGATTTGCTGTTCAGCCCGGCTGAAGCTGACCGAATGAGACTATGGGCTGTGCCTCCGCCAAGCATGTTGCCACTGTTCAAAATGAAGAGGAAGCCCAGAAAGGCAAGAGCTACCAGAATGGAGATGTGTTTGGCGGTGAGTACTGTCATACTTCTTTCTTTTTCTTTTTCAGTTGTTATTTTTCATTAGTACATATTTGCAGTATAAAATGATTGCATTCCTTGTGGGGAGTTGGTGCATGTACATAACACATCTCAATTCTTTTTTCTTCTCCTCCCTCTCCGTTCCCTCATCACTGTTTCCCTCTTGATCCTATACCCATTTGAACAAAATCTGTTCTCTATTTCCTATCACATATTCCCCATACTGCTCCTCATTTAAACTTCATAAGAGTTGGTTCTGGAGGCTTTGATCTTTTTTTAACAGTGAGAACCTGTAGTAAGTGATTGGTGTCTTCTTACACCACTGAGTAAAAGCAGTGAGGAGACCTGATAGAAATCAATGCAAACCTTTTATTTTGGATACCTTTTATCATGATTTGTATGTACAGAGTGTGATGAAAATAGAGTGCATGTTTAATTTTTAAAAAAAATTTTAATTATAATAAAAGACCGTTGCTATTAATCCCCCTCAGAATACTTCCACTCACTTCCACAGGCTTATCCTGTGGCCCTAGGTACTTTTTGAAGCAGTTTTGGAAATTTTTTTCTGGAAGTCTTTTGTTGCGCCACATGGATAGTCATCTTGACTTTGGGAAAGAACCAGAAGTCACATGGTGCCAGATCTGGTGAATAAAATGGATTTTTAATGTTTTTGTTTGGTTTTGTTTTGCTTTGCTTTTTTTATGAGGCTGCCTGTCTGTTGGATGGTGCACAGCAGCAGCATTCACCATAATTTCCATCACATCTTATAAAGATGTTCTTGGGAGAACTTCCATAATCATTTCAGAAAGTGACAAAAACAATGCGATGTTTGAAGTAAAGGGCAAGTTTTAGGGGGATTAATGGCAATGTGTCTTTTACTATAATTAATTTTTAAACTTAAATTTTCACTATATATTTTCATTGCCCTTGTAGAGTACTTTGAAAAGGATCATGGAAGTTTCATGTAAATCTAGAGTAGATTTAAACCAAGCTTTAAAGAACCAGTGGTATTTTAAAAAAAGAGCATTAAGTGTGTGGGGCAGTGGCCATGGAGTATCCTGGTTGGAGAGAGCTAACGACTGAATAGAGGCCAAAAGTGGGATGATCTAATATTTATACAGAAGATAGTGAGCTATGTTTTAGTATTAATAGAATGAAGTATACATTTTCATATTTAAAATACAAATAAAATTAATTTACTAATCACCTGAAAAGCTCTGCTGAGTCAAACTGACTTTAGCATGTCTAGTGCAAAGCTCACGACTTCTAATTCATAGCCATATTTGGCCTACAAATATATTTTCTTTGCCTCAAAGGATTGTAACATAAAAAGCAAGGCAGCCTTTAAAATTCATAATATTTCACGCAAAACCCAAAGTTCTTCAGAATCTCTGGCAACTGTAGATTTTTATTCCTTGAGCAATAGTCACTGGGTGGGGTGACAGTGCCCAGTGGTCAGCCTCAGCCCTCCAGCTGAACCACTAACTGATACATCTTCCTTGTGGATGCGTACTAAGTCCAGGTCATTCCCCAGCATTACCCATCTAGCTACTTATGGGCCCTCAAGTTTCCTGATCCTGAGTTTGTTGCTTAAAAGATCAATTATTGTGCTGACTGTGGTGGTGTACGGCTGTAATCCCAATACTTGGGAGTCTGAGGCAGGAGGATCACCTCAAGTTTTTGGACAGCCTGGGCTACATAGTAAGTTTAACACCATCTGAACAACATAGTGAAACCCTGTATCAAAAAAAAAAAAAAAAAAGATCAGTTATTACACTGATGAAGTTTGGCTATGTAGATAGGATTCCATTTAGTTCCAGGGAGATGAGACAGTTTTGCTGAATGACTTTAACAATAACATCTATGACTTCACATTTGTATGGATTTTTTTTTATTTACAAAAGCATTTCTTTCTTACTAGGTGAGGAACCGCATTGAGATAACGTTTACATTGAGTTGCACCATTTAGTCACTGTCAAATTAGTCTATTGCTTGTATGGTTTTAGCTTTTGATTTATTATAATGGTGATTCTAGTTCCCTGGTGACAAATTAGGAATGCTACAAAATGTTTTGTTAAAATGGACTCATGTAAATGGGAAGAAAGGTTTTGTTTATTCTGGGTTTTTTGTTTGTTTTATTTTTTATTTTAAAGAGGAAAAAAACAGAAAAATCAAGAAGCAAACAATCAAAAACAACTACAAAAGCAAAATGATAACAACTAGCAGTTCAGGATTTCAAAATAAGATGATAGGAATTTAACAATGATTGTTATATTACCTATTATTATCTTCAAAATAGCTGCTCAGGTTACAAGATACAGGCATGCGTGATTGATCAAACAATGTAATTTTTTTGAGCAGTTTCTCTCCCTTTTACTATGTCTATTGTAACTTTTGGATCTTATTTAGTCTTTCAGTTTCTTACACTATCAAGACAATACGGTGTTTACATATGCAAGTCTGATTTATTTCACTTACAAGTATGGTTTCTAGTTGTATCCATTTACCTATAAAAGCCTTGAGTTTATCATTCTTTATAGCTGAGTAGTATTTCTTTTTCCCTTTTTTTTTTTTTTTTTAATCGGTACCGGGGATCGAACTCATGACTGCCTGCTTGCAAGGCAGGCGCTTATGCTGCTGAGCTAAATCCCCAGCCCAGCTGAGTAGTATTTCGTTGTATAAAAATACATCTTTTTTTTTCCACTCCTCAGTTGATGGGCATTTAGATTATTTCCAAAATCTGGCTATTACAAACTGTACTGCTATAGACATGGGTACACATGTATAGCTGTGGTATGATATTTTCATTTCTTCTGGGAAGATACCAAGAAAGAAAAAAGCTGAATTGAATGGAACCTCCAATCCTAGTTTTTTGAGAAATCTTCACATTGATTTCCATAGTGATTGTACCAGTCTCCACCCCTACTAACGATGGAGAAGGCTTCCTTTGTCCCCACAGCGCCATCAGCATTTGTTATCAATTGACTTCTTGATGTTAGCCATTCTTTCTAGAGTGAGGTGATATCTCAGTATTGTTTTAATTTACGTTTCTCGAATGACCAATGATATTGAACACTTTTTCATATATTTATTTGTTATTTGTATTTCTTCATCTCAGAAGGGTATATTCATCTCAGATACCCATTTTTGAATTCAGTCTTTAAATTTGATGGCCTGATTTCTTTTCAGTTCTTCATATGTTCTAAATAGAAGTCCTTTGCCGAGGGACAATGGGCAAAAATGTTTTCCCAATCTAGGTACATTGTTTTAGTTCTACGATGATTTCTTTCAATGTGAAAAATCTTTTTAATGAGATGAGAGCCCACTTCTATGATTGTTTGAAGTACTTCCCTGCAGGTTGGTTTTTGTTTTTGTTAATGAACTCTTTGCCTACCACTGTGTCCTCAAGATTTCTACCTATTTTGTCTTCCAGTAGGTTTAATGTTTCTACCTTAATATTTAGATCTTTGATTCATTTTGACTTTAGTTTATAACTGTGCATGGTGATAGGCATTGATCTAGTTTATGTCTTTGGCATTTAGAAAGCCAAAAGAGGCTTTCTTCCAGTGAATATGTTTGACCCCTTTGTTAAAGATAGGGGGCTGAGTGTTTTTTTATGTTTTATTTTGTTTTACAAAGACACATTTTTCCCCTGGAACAAATTTTCCTCTCTGTTGACTGCCTGTAGAGTTTAGAAGTATGGATAAAAATAATGAATATATGAGCATCAAACTAGAAATACAGATTGTTGACACCATACTATATGGGAAAACAGCTAATTAGGACTGGAATCCTTATCATCACCCTCAAATGCTTAACTTTTAAGAGAAAATGATCTAACATGAAGAATTTATTTAAACTAGCTTCTATGGAATGTTCTATGACATTATCATTTTTACCGAGCTCTTATGTATGGAGCTACCACCATATGTCAGATACCATGAGGCATTTATGTTGGTTTTTTGCAACAATTTTTCGAAATTTGCTCCTCTCTGATTTTGTCTATCTGGAGACTGGAGCACAGAAAGAGTAGGGGGCCAAGGTTGCCTGGCTACCAAGGGGCAGCGTCTGTATCTCTTATTAGCGTGAGCCTTTCCGCTGCTCAGGCGACTTCTGAATTGCAGTCTTTTCTCTCAGCCTCTCAGACTGCTGGGATTACTGGTGTAGCCCACTGTGCCAGGCTGCTCACTCATTCTTTAATGCTCAATGCTGTGTGTGAGGGGTTTTACTAAATGCTGTGGTGATTACATAGGTAAATAATCCATAAACCTTGCTGTGTAGGACTTTATGAGAGGATAAAGAAGTGTTATGAGGCAAAAGAATCCAAATATCTGAAGAGGAAAAAACATAAATCATGATAAGAGTCAGGGGGTGGATAGTCTGACTTAAAAAGCTGAATTAGAGCAGATTTCTTAGAGAGATGTCATCTAGACTTGGTGTTAAAGGGCTGGAAGAACTTAAACCTGTTGGATGAAAGATGTAAGAAGGAACTAGATAAGGAACAGCTACCTGACATTTTTAAGAATTATAAATAATCCAGTGTAAAATGACTATACATGGGAGAGAGCTAAGTTAGGGTTAAAACACAGAACACTTTGAATACCAAATTGAAATCTTTAGAAAAATAATCTTTTATGATATGGACAAGATTCAGTGATAGCCAATAAAGAGTTTTATACTCATATTCTGGTAAGCAGTGAGACCACGGGACCATTCATTTCCAAATTAAGTTACAATTTCAATAGCCAGGAAACATCTATTGTTCTAATGTACTGTGTATATTCTGCAGATGTTAGCATCTACTAAAGGAGCCTTGTAGCAGTCGATTGTTGCAGGTGTTAGACAACCTCATGATCTCAGTAACATTCAGCTGTAAGCATTTTTTTTTCTTCATCATGGGTTATGAGTCAGCCAGGGTAACACTGTCCCACTTATGAGGGCAGACTTTGCTTTGATAGAAGGGCCAGAGTGCAATCCACGTATATGATGTCT